TCAATAAGCTCATGAAATATTATTCAAAGTAAGAGAAAGAAGAGAGAGCTATGATGATATATACATATATCTTTATTTTAGTAAAGATGCTAATAGAAGATGTTATAATCTTCTAACTTCTGAGGAGGTTGTAGTTATTATGACATTTAATAGAACAAAGGCAAAAAAAAAATGAAAGATATAATTATTTAATGAAAAGAATTATATTACAATAAATTCATAAAGAATATCCTAAATACTTATTATTCTATTATGTTAATTTTTTTTGATGTGGAGAACTTGGATAGCATGACCAAATGAGACATAAAGATATGAATGCCAATGAAGATGGAAGTGAAAATACATGGATTATACATATTATTCAAATAGTATTTTATTCATATTGAATTTTTTTCTAAAAATAATAAGTACTTGACTATCTTATGACGTAAAAAGTTGCTATAAGAATTTATTGTGGATGCTTCAGCAGCAATAGAGCAAAATTGATTGAGATACTTTAGTATGAATCAAGATTGATTATATGAAGATTTATATCAAAGACTAGCAAATATTTTTGGAAATGTGCAAAAACAAGAAATTGACATGCAAAATGTAGGATAGAAGATAATTTTTTTAGTATTTCTTATTAGAAGTATAAAAACCTATTTGAGATTTTTCTAGATTTTATGGCCATTATTCAATACTTTCAACATCTAGATATATTTGGTATAATGATTCCAAATTTGCAATGGCCAAAACTCTGAGATACACTTCTTCTAGGACAAAGACTTGAAGATTGCTATCAAGTGGTAGCAAGAATATTTTAATTCAAGCATTGTGCATAAATTGAAGATATTTATAAACATCACATTTTAGGACATATACTTGCAAGAATACATACTATTGAGTTTCAAAAGCAAGGACTTTTGCATATGTACTTCTTATTCTTTTTTGAACCAAATAATAAAATAAAATATTTAGCCAATATTGATAAGATTGTTTGTGTGAAGTTTCTTATTTGAGAAAAAAAATCCATTGTTATTTGAGACAATTAGCATTTATATAGTTTATAGTCTATGTAGACCTCATAATATATAATTTCCATGCATGAAGAATAGAATATGCTAATAGACATATCCAAAAGAATATCAAAAAATAACATCAATGGATGGTGATGGCTATCTTCAATATTATAGAAAGAATGATGGAAGAACTTTCAATATTGGCAATCATGTTATAAACAATTAAGATGTTGTTCTATAAAATCTTACTCTTATTAAAAAGTATAATTGCCATATGAACATTGAGATTTGTGCTTTGATTTTTGTTCTAAAATATATTTTTTAATATTACTATAAAAAATATAATTAATAAAAAAATGCAAATAAAAAATAAAAATGATGAAATCAAGCAACATATTGATGCATAATATATTGGAGTTTCAAAGAGAATATGACATTTGTTTAGAATGAAAATTCTTAAAGAAGTTCTAAATGTGGTTTGATTGACATTGAATCTTCTTGAAATGCATCAAGTAACTTTTTATCCAAATAATGATACAACAAAAGTCTTAGTCCATAGAAAGTAGAAAAAAACAACTTTTATAGTATTTTTTGAAATGTGTGAATCTATGGAGATTTCTTAGTAATATTAGTATCAAAAGTTTCTATATCATTTTATATGGAATAAGACCTTGAAGAAGTAGACAGTAAGATAATATAGATTTATAATTATAAGGCTATATTTTATTGATTCTACTACATAAAAAAGATCTAGAGTAACATTAAAGTGTGCAAATTGGCAAAAAATATACATTTGGAAGTTGTGTCTAATAAAAATTTATTATTTGCTAAAGAACTCTTGAAGGTATGCATTACATATGATTGTTACTTTTGAGAGTTTTCTTTTTTTTATGATACAATATTTTTGTGTAATATATCTAAAAATGATTTCTATTTGTAGGTTAAAAAATAGATCAATAATTATAGATCCATTAAAAAGTATAGTGATTCTTTTAGAATGTATAAAAATAGGTCCAACATCAAATGATTTAATTTAAGCTCTCTACTAAAGATTGGATGAAGATGGGACACTTGTAGATGAATATTTCACTAATAAGTCTATTTTATTTATACAAAAATATAATATTGATAATCTAAATAAGCATGTAACAAAAAGATTTTTTGAATTTTTATAAGTTTATTTAAGCATAAATATGGCAATTATGAAAGATAATGCTAATAAAAAGATAATTATTATCTAATTGAATATTTGAATAACTTTAGTCTATTTGGATTGTAAACATTGAGCTTGGAGCTAAAGGTTGGATATCCTATCATGTTGTTGTAAAATATTGCTCTATGCCAAAGACTTTGCAATAGATTGTATGTAATCATTACAGAACTCATTGATTGAGTTATAAAAACAAAACTTTTATCTGGAGACTACAAGGGACAATTGACTTTTCTCCCAAGGATTACATTATATTCATTCTTTGCATAGATTCCATTTAAGTTACAACAAAGATGATTTCCAATAAAACTAGGATTTACAATGGCGATTGATAAATCTCAAGAACAATTTTTTTAGAATGTAGGAATAGATCTTAGAATTCTATTATTTGCACATTAGAATGTTGGTATTTGTTTGTGCCATTTTATGATGCACTTCTCCAAATATGATTGAGATCTTATATCTTGAAATTAATAAAGAAAAAAATACTACCATAAATATAATTTATCCAAAAGTTCTTTTAACTTAGCTATTTTATTATTGTAATAAATAAAAATTATATTTTCCAATTATAGTGAAGAAAAATAAATGATTTTATTGTAATATATATATATATAAATATATATATTTCTTTGTTGTTTAATATTTCTTTAGGAGTGGTCAATTTTTTACCTAACAATTGCAAATTAAACTTTTACACTTTTTTGTGGCCAAATGCATGGTTTCCACTAGAATATATTTATATATATGTATATATATATATATACATACAATAAACTACTTTGCAATTAAGATAAGAAAGAGTCAAAAAGTGACGTCTCCTTTTGTTCTTCTTTCTTCAATTTCTTTTAACTAGTTAGAAATCTTGCATTGAATCTTACTTGCTTGCTTTCGAAGCATCGAGACTTCAGCGTCAGTGCCCGATGTTGAAGCAAGCATGCGGCGAAGGGCCAGCGAATCTGCATCGCTCTCCACTCCACTCACTTGCTCTCCTTGTGCAGAAGTCGAAACAAAGACGCATACACACAAATCATGTTCGATGCGATAGACAGCGGCGATGTCTGTTTCACAACCAAAGGCGAATCCTGCTCTTTGCTTGAATGAATTGGCACACATGTTTTGACAACCCGTGCTGCGACAGCGTGTGCTAGAATCGTGCCTTACATCGAAGGCGCAAAAATTCCGGATTCCAAACCTGGCCTGGTTCGATGCCAACGTGCAGAGCTCATAGGTCTAGAATGGTGACCAGATGAGTGTGTGTTCTGCGTCGTATTGCGTCTCAGTATATAGCAATGTAGATTTTTGCGCGATGACGATCTGGCTCGGCACTGACAAAACGGAGTTTGTGTCTGATGCTGGAGGGCATGTACTCTCCGCTTTTACTATAGTCATCGCTAGTTCCGAGGTGTTCTGCGAGGATATGATCGACTCATTGTCTCCTTCAGGTCATCTTTCACAGGGTTGTTGGCAGGGGTACGCTTATAACTCATTGCCATGTTGCTGGACGAAATGCGTCTGTATATCTACACTTAAATTCAGTTGGTAATTATATAGTTTGAGGCAAGTGTGAGGCTGAGAGCGATCTACATTCATTCTCGCCAGTATCTGGTCTCTAGAGGACATGTTCTGACATGATCAAGCAGCTATTGATACGATTGAGGGCGGGATTCTTATTGTACTGCATTCAGTGGATGAATTTCGTGCTAGACTTGAAAGTGAACCACAGATGTTTTACAGCTCCAGTACTACGCCACAGAGACAGCGAATGGAGCATACTGTGCACAATCGAGAGCCGACAATCGCCTATTACGGCCTGACTAGATCATGTACCAGCAGAAAAGTTTTCTGCAGACGCAGAAAGATTCCAAAAAGCATTTAGGCTTTGGAGTGGAGGGAGCGAGAGCCAGAACAAATGTTTTTAGCACTGTTAACGAATTTGTAGGACAATGGTTCTACCGTTGGTGACTGGTTCAACCCAGTCTGATTCTCCATCAAATTCATCGCTTAGCTGTGGTGACTTAACCAATGAAGGCTGGAGCAGATCAGTATAGAGAAGTAGTTAACATGAAGTTTGTGTGTCTGCTCTGTAAGTGACACGGTCAACCAGCTAAATGACTCTTGTGTCGTTGCTAACGTAAATCAATCTAGGCCGCAAAAACTCTCTGCATGAACCTAAATAATTATGGTGAACTGTTGTATTTTGCTAGTCTCTAGCTTAACATCTATTGTAATACCAAAATAATGAACTTGAACTACATCGTAGGCTATGATTTTTCATGCAAGCACACTGCCGTGCGATGGAAGCTGAAAATCAGCATATCAATGTACAGCATAATTTGTCTCTGCTCACAAACAGTAAACCTGGAAGCGCAGTTTTCATGATTCACCTTGGAGGAGGAGCTACGTACTCCTGGACGATCCAATTGTCCCTCTGAGCAATAGAACATTATCCCCAGATTTAAATGATGTCTGAAACGAAACAATTGTGTTTGGAAGATAATCTAAGTTTGTCTCTATATGTTTTTGAGAAATAAATTGAGCGTTGGGCAGAGACGGGAGGGACAGGAGAGAGTCAGAAGTGGGTACCGAGCGATCTACGGCAATTTGAGTTTCTCAAGGTGTACGTAATCAGAATGCATTGAGGCGCCTTACAGAATTGTCAAGAACTAAGCATGAGGATTTTATGAGTTAGTATGAGCTCACGTTGATCTTTCCACCGCAAGGCTTTAGCGGATAATCCTCGGTTCCTACGAGCATTCGTATGTGACTCTTTGATTCAGAGGATTACTCAGAAAATAACCTTCAGTTGCCTAGTGAATTTGGATCAACCTACTGGAGTTTGGTCCAGTGTGTTTGAATTGATAAGTCTCCACTAGTCACCTGTCGAGTTAGAAAACGAATGATAACTATCTAGTAAATTTTAGCCATTTGAACATGAAGGCTTATGAGACAACGTACTAGAGGTAAAATTACAATGTCGTCCTGGCAGCTGTGTCAATCTCCAGAGTGCTTAGTCACCACAAATGAACATGAGTTCACATGGTCCGGACAACTTTTGATGCACATAAATCTTGGTTGCAAGGTGCAACTTAATCGACATGTCAACTGGCGTCAAGTGATGATTAAGTTTCGGCAGCTTGACGATGTTGTTAGTCTGTTGGTATCAGGGATAATCCTTCGATTTACTGTAATTTTCCTTGCATTGAATCTGCGATGACTCAGCTCGTGGGCACCAGGATTGAAACTTTCATGTGGTTGTCACGGCAAGCAGGAGAGGTTTGGATCAACTCCATAAAATGAACCGTCTCCAGTTTCCCTTCAGATCATGTGTTAGTTATATAGATCGATCGACAGCCGGCTGATGAAACTCTCGACTTGACAATATTTCTCCTGGACTCCCTCAGCAACAAGCCTCCAATTTGCAGACGCCTGCATCGACTACTACAGGTTTGTCATCAAATCACCATTTACAACTTTTCATGAGATTTCCACTATGAATCTTTATTTGTCTCAGGTTGAGAGTTGTACCATTCTGTCAAAATATTAAACGATCACAGCCGGTTGTCGACCTGGATTGACTACTTTATCAGCGCGGCGAAGGTTGTGGATACCATGGCCAACTATATCATCGCCAGCAACGCGCTTGTCCTGCTGGCATTCGTCACGTTTTTCTTCGTTTACTTCCTGAGAGCCTTCATTCTCCGGGATAAGAAGCTGAGGCCAAAGTATCCACCGAGCCCTTGGAAGTGGCCGATCCTTGGCAATCTTCCACAACTCCTCCGAGGCGGTCCTGCATGTCACACCACCTTTAGACTGCTGGCCAAAGAGTTGGGTCCTGTATATAATGTCTGGCTCGGTGGTTCCTTCCCTATGGTGATTGTAACTGGAGAGGAGACGGTACATGAAGCTCTCATCAAGCAGAGCAGCGTGTTCTCATCGCGACCAAAGCTGCTATCATGGCAGCACATCAGCGCAGGATTCAAAACCACCATGACTTCGCCTTTCGGCCCTCATTGGCAAAAGCTCAGGAAGACCATCAGCGTGGACCTGCTGGGTCCCTCAAAGCTAGCAAGCTACAAGCCCATTCGTGACAGCGAAATACAGAAACTGCTGGCCAGGCTCAGAGAGCAAGCTCATGCGAATGCAGGGTTGGTCTCTCCTCTAGATCAATTAAGAACCAGTGCAGTGGACGTGATCATGAGAATCGGTTTCGGGGAGGAATTCGCACTGATGGAAGCTGTGAATTCAAATCGTCGACATGCAAAAATCGTAGAGCTCGATAGGTGCTTCCGCCAACTTATGGATGCAGGATCTATTTTCCAGCTAGTCATTGACAGTTCAGTTGTGGCGAGGACGTTACTCTTCCCCCTCGCTAGATCTGCGAACCGGAACATAGAAACTGTCGCAGATAACACCGTCTCGCTCGTGATGCCAATAGTCCAGCAACGCAAAAGATATCTCCAGGACCACCCAGCCACCGAGACCAGAACCTTCGTTGACGCGCTAATATCTTGCAAAGGTGAGAGTGCGCTGACGGACCTTGAGATCGTTTGGAACGTCGTCGAGCTCATGGTTGGCGGCACCGACAACACGTCGCACATCCTTGAATGGGCTCTGGCCAACATGGTGAAGTATCCGCACATCCAAGAGAAGGTCTACACAGAAGTTAGATGCGCTATGGGACCCAACCTCGAGCGCCGGTTGGTGGAAGAATCTGAGCTTGATAAGCTCCCTTACTTACAAGCTGTTGTGAAAGAGTCCATGCGCAGACACATGATGACGCCTCTGGCAATACCAAAGCTTGCCGCGCAGGATTGCAAGCTCTCTGGATACGACATCCCCAAAGGCACCATGGTGGTGTTCCACGCTGGAGCTCTCGCCATGGACGATGATATATGGACTGATCCCTTGAATTTCCGACCCGAGAGGTTTCTTGCCGGTACAGGATCATCAAATGCTCCGGTCACACAAACGCACAAGCATGCCTTCATGCCGTTCGGCGCTGGTCGGAGATCGTGCCCAGGTGCTGCCATGGGGTTTCTGCATCTCCATCATCTGTTTGCAAATTTGATCTATGCTTTCGAGTGGGGACCTGAGTCACCCCGCAAGGCTGTCGACTTCACGGAGAAGTTCCGCATGGTCGTCACCATGAAGAATCCGCTCCGGGCAACCATAAAAGAAAGGACCCATTTTAGAATGATGTAGAACTGCTTATGTAGTGCATCAAACATTGACTGCTCGGACAGCTATGTCGCAAATCACTTGTTCAATTATCTGTTTATCCTCATCAGTGTCTATTTAATATATGCAAATGACTCTTCATTTTGTTCCAGTTTCTATTGCTAGCTGTTTTGAGACATAGTAACTACAGGTGCCCGATGCAGGGCTTGAGGTTGACCTTCAGTATCCGGTTTCACATGCCGGATTATCACAATATTACTTGACACCAATCCTCAGCCCTAATTTAAGCATGACTCCGATGACAATACAATGTTCACTCAAAGGTGATTGTCACTCGTTGTGTCTCTTCGTTTCTCCATTATTTCGAATCATATACTTGGATCACGTTCCCTTGCAAGATTTGGCTGGTGCTTTAGTAGAATCCGGGATGAGTCATCGTTGGTTGAAGTTCGTCTGCTTAGACGGACGAGCGAAGTGGCCACCGCAAGAACCCCGCGACGACGAACGATTTATTCTCCGTCAGGTCTTCAATTTGACTTCTTCTTGTTTAGGGCTGGCGCTGCTTTGTTCGAAGGGGGCATCTTTCATATTCGTTGGCGAGGTGGCACTCTCTGAGAGATATCACATGTGATTCTGGCATACGCATTTCTCTGTGGGGCCCTAATGCTTCCCGTCGCTGCGTAGACAGAGCCATTGATGTTAATCCTGCACGATCAGGTCGAATTTCTTGGTCCAAACCCTGAGCATCGGGTTTGAGATTCTGGGCATTTAATATTGCTTTCGCAGATTGCAATAAAGCCTCCGCAATTATTTGTTTTTGATGTGGATTTCGGGTGAAGGCTTTAACAGGGTTTAGGCAATCTGAAGCTTAGGGTTTATCAAAGTCTTTGAAGTATTCTTCATTTTCTGAAGTGTTGGTTTGGGCTCCAGACCTGGTGCATCTTGCGGAGTGCGTGTGTGGGTTTTTTTGTTCTGATTGTGTCATGTGACGAAATTGTGGAGAGGAAAAGCATTTGTCATGGACGTGACTCGGACAGCCAATCTTAGCTCTTCTACTTTAGTTCATCCTTGCAATGAATTTGCTAGCACTGAGTTTTTCCCTTCGCGGGCTCGGTCGTCATTCTCTGGACAACAGTATGTTAGGTCGCTGAAAGCTATTGGCAGGTAAAACCTCCTTTCTAATCTTGTCCCCTTGTGTTGTCAGTTACGCAAATCTGCTAGTTATCCCGTTCTACAACGAGCGTTTCTGTGAACGTCACGTTGAGCCCCTAGACTTTGAGTAGTGTGCATTGCTCGGGAAGAGTTCTTTTCTACTCGTATCAATTGGTAAAAATGCTCTTTGGACCATTATAACGTTTGGCTCTTGGTGTATTCCTCTTAAATTGTCACGCAATTTGTCCGAACATAGTTTCCTGAGGTCGTTGTTTCACCAATATGATCTTCGAGGGCAGTTTCTTTTCAATTGTGCTGATTGGTATCACGGTGTTGGGATAATCGATAATAAATAATGAAAGCTTTCTTGTTGAATCCAGAGGAAGCAGGTTGCCGAGGATATCAGACGGTGACAATTTGTTCTTGGAACGATCTGGTGCCCTTCATGTTGCGAGAGCAGTGTTGAAACAGGATGGACCTTCAGGAGATGGTCTTTCCTTTTCTAAGCCCAGCTCTGAGAAGAACGGTAGTTCCGCTCATCCAGAGGTAGGGTAAACCTTGCTTCTGGAGACTTCGGCCTGCCCTGTGTGCAAATTGTATTTAGACAACATTTTTCTAGACCAAATATTGTGCAATTCATTGACCCTTTTACTAGCATCACACAATCTTCAACGTCTCCCTTCACATGTGTGTACAAAGTTCGTATTTTCAGAGTGATTCTTGTATGTTCATCTGTTTGATTGTATCACCGAATAATAAACGAAGAACCTGACATTTAACACATTATAAAGCGAGTGCTCACCATCCTTAGGACCAGATGACTTGGACACGTCTCTTTTGTTAATGTTAAAATCAAGGTCACGTTGAATTGACCTGGGAATACTTTCTCGAGCAGCAGGCCAAGAGTGCTAATCCTCCTGACAATTCTGAAAGCATAATCGGGGTGACGACTTCACCCGCAACCACAGCAGGGACGCCAAATACAAGCGGCAGTCGGGCAGGTCTATTTCGAACGCCCATCTCAGGTGGAGTGCAGAGTGCCACAAGTTCACATGGGTTGCCTCACCCCGCCATTGCCGTACGCAACCTCATTGAACAGGTATGGTGTTTGTCAAACTTATAGTGGGATTCTTCACTTCAATTCCTCAGATAGGATCTTGAGCAACTGAGGAAAAGAAATATTAAAAATTAGGCCGCCCCGTATCTCATGTAGGATTTCTTGCAAGTAGTTTTTAGCTGCATTCGAGTAAACCATGACAAAATTTCATCACTCTTGATCTTTTTATCTGACGAAATTCGTCCACGCCCTTCAGGTTTGACCTTTTGGTTGGATGATATGATTTCAGATAGGATGCGAACCCCCTGCTGATACGGTCCCTCTGGAGTTTAGCAATCCTAACATGTGGCCCATTTTGACGCAGGCTCGTTTTGCACATCTGTGCACGATCATGTCACGTATGCATCATCGCCGGCGAGGTTACCCCTTCGGTTCACTTGTGGACTTCGCTACGGATAATCGTGGACGTATGGACTGGAACCTTCACACGATAGTGTTGTATGTATAGAAATAGAATTTAAATCATGAACTGCTGTGCTCTCATTTTGAAGTTTTTAGTATACCACTAACATAAGTGTTCAATAACTGAATAAGTCACTGTGTTCACCTCGCCACTCAGTTTTTGTTTTTGTTTTTGTTTGTTTGTTTGTTTGTTTGTTTTTTTTTTTTTTTCAATTTTCTGTCTTTTCATAGGCAGTCTGTATCATAACTGTTCTGGCATTCTTTTCGCAGATCCCATTTTTTCACTGTCACCATTAGCAATCCATACAAGGAATCTCCTTGCAGATCCACGTTGCACTTTGGTGGTTCAGGTACAGCCGTTTAGAAACTTGCAAGAAACCCCATTTAAGTGTTCCATGGTTGTAATTGTAGTCTTGAATCATGTCCCTCCTTTACTGATTTCCATATCCTGGAGTCATCAAAGGCCTGCTTATTTTGCACATTTTACACCTGCAGACTTTATCAATATCTGATCTATATATATATAAGATTTTTTCTGAAAGCTAAAATATGATTGAATTTTGTATCTGTTCAGGGGTCAGTAGTTCCTCTATGTTTTTTTTGGCTAAAATCTGGTTCACGTTGGCAGATTCCAGGATGGAGTGGACTCGCTAATGCGAGGGTTACGTTATTTGGAGATGTGTATCCTCTTCCTCCTGATCAGCAGGTATGGTATTGGAGAATGTCGACTTAAACTACCTTTGATATAAAAAACTGTAAGGGCTTTCCCTTAAATTCTGCACCATATAACTCCGTTGTAAACCGTGAAGTGACCCTTCTGCATCTCAACAATTTGGATTGGAGCCATATCATCAACTTCTGTGCATTGAACATTGCCTTGATGATAAAAAAATGATGTATGACTTGCAGGCGCTTGCGCATCAGTATTACCGTGCAAAGCATCAACAAGGGGCGTCGCAACAATGGAGCAACTTTACTTTCTATCGCATGGAAAATATAAGGTATCTTTTGTCTAGCAGTTGATTGACCTCGTAGCAACTACCATGAGTATAACACCGTGCAGTACTCTTGGCAGAAGAGGTGTTCTACACTGCCAAAGAAACCCTGATGAGAAGCAGACATGTGGGGTTGAGCGACAAATAGTGACGAATGTCTATTTTCTCGCCTTTTGCTGCCCCTTGTATGTTGCTTATCCGGCGTGGTACGTTATTGACAATAGTAAAAGTTGTGTCTGAAGAGCTGCTAACTGCATTGTGTCTCATGGGAGGATCACAATATTGGTACAGTGTTTAATTTACTTAGCATAGAATCTGTTATTAACCATGATTATGTGGAATGCAGTGACATCTATTTTGTCGGAGGATTTGGCACCGTGCAATGGGTTGATGTCAAGGAATATGACTTGGCTCGGCCAGACATTATTGCAGTCAACGGGGCTGAAAAAACATTACAGGTCTGCCGCATGTTCTCCTGAAATATATGTTGAAAGATTGGTTATCAGCACAATTTATGTCATAATAACATATCAGAAGCTTGCAATAATGCATGTTGTGACTATTGTGTTAGATAACTAATTAGTCGACTGATAGTGTTTCTAAGTACTGTGAATTCTGGTGGGGATTGCAGGAATTGAATTTCAGGTTTTCAAAGAAGCTGATGGAGCTTTTAGCCTCGGAAGCCGAGGTGGATGATGCTGCCTTGATTTCTATAGACAGCAAAGGTGTTGACATTCGTGTTCGGCAGGGTGCACAGGTAATTATCTGCACTGAACTGACTGTGGATGGAATCATTATTTGGTAGCCGTGCTAGTGCCAGTGCGAAAATTGATTTCATGATTGCGCTGGACATTTTATTTGGCATCATCCTCCCGAATCGTTTTGAGTTCTTTTCTGCCATTTGATTTATGCTGGTGCCCTCTTATTATCCTATGAGTACCTCATGTCTATCTTAGCATTAATCCTGTATTCTCTGATGATGATAAATACAGTTCAATGTGCGACGCATTTCATTTGACGAAAAAGATCCGGTGAAAAGCTGTGACCACGCGATCATGGCTCTGCAGAAGGTGCTGGACAGGGGAGTTCGATTTCTCCACTGAAGGATTCATACCTTATGGAACGAATCGGCCGCGCAGATTTATGATTCTCACAAAAAAAGTAATGCTGCTTCCTGAGGCAACGTTATGTACAGAGTGGACTGGTCACATTTCTAATGTCTTCTTTCCTTGGAAGACACGACATCAACAAGCACTGTCTACGTTTTGACTTCTTCAGAAGTACCCATCTTTGAGTTTAATTTCTAGATACTGTGGTGAACCTTCATATGTTTTTGCTTCACGCACTCCCATTGCTGAGCTGTTTATGTAGTAGGGAGGCTCCGATCCTTCTGATGGATGTGAAGCGAAGAATATGTGTCAATCCAAAGATGTAGCATCTGATTTGTCTTACTTAGACATCACCGGGAATTTGTACCTGAACATGAATCTAGCTGAGATTCTAGCTGCCCTGAGTGAGACTGCATTGCGAAGGGGTTCCCAACTAAGTTTTTATAGCTTTCACCAGGAACTGAACTCTCATTTGTGTCAATTTTGTACAATCCATGACATCCACTTCACATTTAAAGCTAATGGTCTGAAACACCAACCGTCGTATGTAAGCGTTATTAGAATGCAATCCTTAACATCTTCAACATTGCCTGTGTAAGCCCAATAAAAAAAGAGTTACTCCAAACAGTATCATGTACTGCAACCCGTATCTCCGACTCAAATAAATAGGTAGATTTTGATGGGCACAGACAGGAATTGCTCAGTAGAAACTTAGCGTGTTATCATAAGTGATTCTGCAGCAGTCCAAGCTCATTATTTTTAGCTTGCCTTGCACCCACGCCATAGAGCTTCACCAAAAACATCAAAAAGACTGTCTCATCATGATCGTGAATATACTTTTGATTGACCATTGCAAATTATTATGTGCATCTTACTTTTTACCTTTGCACAATAATAATTTGCAATGGTCAATCAAGATTTGATATTATTGAAAACTTTTCACAATATTAATTTGATACAGCTAATTTTAGCAAATTTTAGTTTGCTTCAAATCATTTGCCGAGAATTTTTTTGAGTGTGAATTAAAGATTTGTAAGTATTTTTTATTTTTATGGTATTTTAATAGACATCAAAGTTATTTATATTAGGAAAAAAAATTAAATAAATGCACTAGCTGCACCTTTTAGTTTTGTGTATATATGTAGATAAAATCTCTTTTTCTAAAAAATCAATTGTAGATATATTGAGTGGCTTTTTCATATAAAATTTTGATACTGTATTTTGGACAAGGAAAAACTAGGAGGTAGACACACGTCTTGGTAGGTAAAGTAAATCAAATAGACTTTAAGAATGTCTTTCCTACATTGGTTTGCTTCAGTATCCAACAACAATGTTTCTTTGTCGACCTACTTTGTTTGCTATTTGCTCATCAAACCATTACAAATGCTCAAACGGGCCATGCTAAAACAACTTAATATATATATATATATATATAAAAGAAAAAATAATAAGAATAAAATGTTTATATAAGATTGTGAACACATCCTATACACAAAGATATTATGTATAAAATTTAGGTATAATGTAATAAGAAATGAAATGTAAAAAAAAATAACATATCAATGAGGATACTTTTAAAAACAAGAGACAAAATCTTTAATTTATTTATTTCAAAAAATCTAATTTAATTTAATAATTATGATATAAATTCAATCAAAATATAATAAAAAGTTATTAATATAAATATCAAAATATAATCAACTATGATGATTTCTTAAAAAAAACTATTATAGTAATATAAAAATAATAATCATAATGAAAGATAATTTAAATTAGCTCATATTATGAGAACAAGAAAAGATAAAAACACATCTTATAGTTACTAATCATAATTTACTATACAGAAAAGAAGATGTATAACAACAAGTAAATATGATTTTTAAACAAATCCATATATATATATATATATATACTTAAAGAAATTTTCAAGTATATCTTTCACAAGTCACGTTGAATTTAAATTATATTTTATTAAAAGAAAATATATATTAGAATTCATAATATTAATATACTTTAAAATATTAAAATATGTATTAGAATTTAAATTATATTTTATTAAAATATATATTAGAATTCATTCAAATAGAATATTTGATGATTAAAGTAATATATTTTTTTTAATATAATGCTAAAACAATTCTTAAAAAAATACTTTAACTTGTATGAAAAACTTTAATCTTTTAAAGTATATTAATATTATTCTAATAATTACTATTATTCATTTGGTATATGTTATTTATTTAGTTATTTTAAATTATTTCTAAATTGAGAAAAAGTGATGTTTGATATGAAATATACTTTTATATATATATATATATATATATATATATATATATATATGTATATATATATATATCTATATATATATATCTATATATTTTGAAGTGGTTCTCCTCTTTCATTTAAGTAATTTACAAATAACTTAAACTGTTTCATTAGGTATAGAGTTTTTTTTTTTTTTTGGATTAATATTTTTAGAAAAAATTAGTATTTAATAGAAATACAATGTGTGTGTATATATATCCAAGTAGCCTTCCGAATCAATGTATTCTATTTTAAATTCTCTGTTAAGGTAAATGGCAAGAGAATCGATATGCCGCGCAAGTTGTCCGAACAATACTTCATTACAACAACGAAGAAGAGAACACAAACAACTAAGAACCGTCAAAAGCTTTAACCACTGTAAGCATAAAGAATACACACCATCGCAAGGTAATCGGCCTCAGCCGCAAAATTGAACTAAAGCAACAATCTTCCTCTACAAGCATTTCATGTTTCCTACACATCATGCTCAACTGTGTCCTGGACAAAAATTGGGCTTCTGTGTTCAAAACTTGAATATGTGTAAGGAATTTAACGCGGAGCTTAAGCAAGGAGGAGACTTCTCCCAGCTGAGGATTAAGGGGACAAAGTTCAGGTTACAAGTTTGCAGCACCATAATTCTGAACGCAATCCTGGTCATAGCTATAACTTCGTTGGGGCAGCATATCCCGTTGTCTCTGTTAGCCAAAACATGCTCTAGTGTTTGGTCTCTTGGTGAGGGGACTTCCCTTAAAATGAGGTTATCAGGACCACAGTAATGCAGTCAGTGAGCGGTAACTGTAACTCATCTATCTAACTCCAAAACAAACGTGCAGCAGTTGGCAAAGGCAACAAGAGGCTCTTGTATGTCTCTGATGAAAGAACATTCCAGTAGGTGGAAACATTCCAGTAGATGAAAGAACATTCCAGTATTATTAATGTCCACCCAAAGCTTAACACTCCCAATATGAACCACTAAACTTTATTGCACAAAAATCACCACACACGAGCTGACACTTACAAGGTGCGGACACCATCTGAAAGATGATCAAAAGAAAAAATCGAACTTGGCAACAAAGCTGCACCCCAACTAGCCATGTGCAATCTGCGATGCCACGACGAAGGCTTGACTAGATTACAAGAGTTAACAGGGCCTTGGAAGAGAAATCCGCAAGCAAGGTCTAGGAAGTTAGAATACGTCCCTCACACGAAAGCACAATTGGTCAAAAACAAAAAACAAAAAAGAAGAGGAAGGTGTAAACATGGGTTACAACATGAGTTTTTGCATCTTAATGACAACAGGGGAATTGTCATTAGACTTCTAATAAATATGCTCTCCATTAATCTCCCTCCTCCCCAGAACTAAGAAGTAGTGAAGTGTATAGAGGTGGGTCAATAATTGAATAGCACGGATGTTGAGAGAGGCACAGCTGCAGAATTGTCAGAAAATTATAATCAATCGATGCTCAACCGAAGGCTACCCAGTGATTCTGCCCAAGGGTGTTGCCGGAGGAGCCAATTCAAAGGAGTCTACCTACCTCGGGTATACTGGCATGGGGTCCAGTGCTTGATGAATTCGTAGTCTTAATTATCCAAATTGGTCTATTGTTTTAGTAAGTTAAGGTACTTGCACGTAGCAATCTTGATCATCAAGTTTTTGGAGCGAGCAATAGAGTATTGAACTCAAGCAGGTCCAACTAGCTTATGTTCCTAAAACAACTCTAGACAGTTAGGATCACAATGTTTATGAAGGACATGGCTATACGATTTTGTATATAACATTAAAAACCAATCAGTCTCTTCCATAGTAAGTTTAAAGCTAAAAGGATGTTTGTAATTATGCATTTAAGTTTAAAAATGGCCAAGCATTTATGAGAAGGAAAATCTAATAGGTTAGCTTATTAAAATTTCTCCCTAAATATAATTTATCACTTTTTGTAAGTGTCTTACAATTATTCAAACTTAAAATAGTTTGAATAGTTGTAAGAAAGTAATTTAAATTTATTTTGTTGTTTCAATAGTAGATCATGTTAGTCTAGATTATAGAAAGTAGAATAGATGGCTTTTGATTGTGGATGTTGATTTTGAGTAAAAAAATATTAAAGAATTAATTATGAGATTGTTAATTTTTATAATGGAAAAAAGATCTACTACAATTGGATGCAACATTATAGTGAAGCCATTCTTGAAATGAATACATAACAACAAGCTCTTGAAGTTGTCTAATCCATAATAGTTTGTATCTTCTTAGAATTTACTTGAAAACCATCATTTATGATGATGTATTTTAAAAATTCTATTTATGTTTTGTGAAATATAATTATTTCCATTTTTGCAAATAGTTGTTTATCTTTAAGTTTTTTTTAGTAAATGGAAAAAATGTTTGTCATATTTTTATATTCTTAAAAAAATATTATTGTTTAAATAACACATAACAAAATTTTCTAAAATTTCAATAAATAAATTATTTTAAAAAAATAAATATAAAATTAAAAAAATTTAAGTCCAAAAGGCATGACATTATATTGAAATTATTTGTATATAGTTTATAATACAATCTTTTATTTATTCTTTTTATTTTTAATAAGTACCAAATTATAGGCTCATTGTAGATCCAATTTAGTTAAGAATTTTTTTTTAATTTAGTTGATTAGCATCATCAACACATATTTATTATATATATATATATATATATATATATATATATATAGAAACATATTCTTCTAAAACATCATTTCTATAATTATTCAATTAATCTTCAAAAAAAAACTTATTCACCATTTGAACTAATCTATAGTTTATTGCAAAATGACGTGGCTTCATTTAACAAGTATATTAACAAGAACTTGACTAAGAATTTTATATAGAACTTAAAATCTCCAACATGAGCTTCTATTTTGGTTTTGAAGAAAAAACAATAGATCACTATGGATGTAAGTAGATTATTAAGAACTCCACAAGATTATTATTAATAATAGGTATTTTTTGTCTTTGATATTAAGACTTCTTAATTAAATAAATAAAATCAAGATCTACATCAAAGTAAATCTACAAAAAAAATATAATTTGGTACTTATTTTTTTTAAAATGATAAATAGATGACAATGTTTTAAACTAGATATGAATATTTTGAATATGATATCATGTCTTTTGGACTTATAAATGCTCCATCTACTTTCCAACATCTAATGAATGATAATTTTTGAGAATTTTAGATGATTTTATCACTTATTATCT